TAAACGCACAGTGTTTTGGTGAAATCTACCTAGCTCTTTAATTCGGTGAAATTTTTGGGTAATTCCCATTTTGATATCAGTTTGATGAAACTGTTGGAGCAAAAAAAGTTACTTTTTTTCACCAATTTCAAATTTGGTGACGGTTTTGCTTAATCGTTGGAGATGGTCTTATTTGTTCAGATAGTAATGAGTAGATTTTTTTTTATATAACTTTTTTTACATTTAAAAAATTTTAATTATTTAGATAAGTAATTAATTTTTTTAATGATTTATCAAATTAACTTAATTTTTAAAATTATAAGTTCAAGATATAATTTTATAATGAAATTGCATATTGAACATGCGATTTTATATTGATATGACCACATCTACATACCAATAAGTTAAGTCAATATGAAATCGTGTTTTGAACATGCGATTTTATGATAAAGTTGCTGTGGAAGCGTGATGGACACCCATTGGGCTCCTACATAGGTTCCCAGTTGTCTAGCTTCCTGAGAAGGAAGTTCCTACAGACGACACCAAATGAAGCAGCCAACCTTCCATTAGCACAATATTGTTCGCTCTATGCGTACCCTGAAGGCTTTGTTTTATGTAGTGGAGTGTGGTTTCCTCACGATATTGTCCGCTTTGGGCGTACCTTCACGACTTTGTTCAGACTTTGTTCATCTCTTAGGAAAAGGTCTTCTGCTAATTTGAAGGAGTTAATCAACTTATGTAGTAGAGTGTGGTTTCTTTACGACTTTGTTTTATGTAGTGGAGTGTGGTTTCCTCACAATATTGTTCGCTTTGGGCGTACCCTCGCGACTTTATTTTTCCCTTAGGAAAATACCTTGTGCTAATTTGACGGAGTGTTTTATGTAGTGGAGTGTGGTTTCCTTACGATATTGTTTGCTTTGGACGTACCCTCACGACTTTATTTTTTTCTTAGGAAAATGCCTTGTGCTAATTTGAAGGAGTGTTTTATGTAGTGGAGTATGGTTTCCTCACGATATTATTCACTTTGGGCGTACCCTCACGACTTTATTCTTCCCTTAGAAAAATGCCTTCTACTAAGTTGAAGGAGTTAGCCAACTTATGCAGTGGAGTGTAGGTTCCTCACGGAGCGATGTGAGATGGATACCCATAGTTGCATTTTTAACTTACGTTTTTTAAAAAGTATATTAGTTTGATAAATAATTTAAAAAATGAGTTACTTTGGTAAATGGTTTAATTTTTTAAAATATTAAAAAAAACTCAAGGGGTCGGGTTTTTTAACAAATTTTTTTTTTGTTGATTTTAAAAAAATTTAGTGAATTTTTTATTTTGCCTCCGTTTGGGAAGTGGGTTGGCTTTTTGGCTTTTTGACTTTTTTGGCTATTTTAGCCTGGGTTAAAAAGTTTGGTTTGGGAAGGACTTTTTGGCTTTTTGGCTTTTTTGATTTTTTTTTGTGAGAGAAGAGTGTAATGATTATGGGTTGGATGTGATGTTTTGTTTGTTGTGGCTAAAATAGTCTGTTTTGTCTTTTGTGGCTATTTTAGCCCCAACCCAACTTGCCAAACACCACCTTTATACTTTTGGGTGGAGGGTGTTTTAGAATTAGATATTTTAATAAATTTGTAATTTTTTACAAAATTATGTGTAAAAAAGTAAAAAATGTAAGTTGACTTGTATTGACTTTTTAACTTTTTAATTATTTTAGATAATTCTAAAACACCCTAGCAAATTGGAAAAATAAAAAATAAAAAATAAAAAAAATTCTTTTTTGACTTTGTTAAAAAAATTGATTTTTTTATATTTATTTTTTCATTTTAAATTTGTTTACACAAGACGAACTTGAAAATAAAAAAATAAAAGATCAGTAAAGAAAAAAAATTGAAAAAAAAATATGACGTTTTTAACTGTATGCCAACACTTACTGAAAATTGAATAAATCACTGACCTTATTACAAATATAGTGTTCACAAATTTAACGCTTTGAATAGTTTGTTTCTTACTTGTTTAGATATATAAAATTGAGTAAATTTATATGTACAGAAATTAAATACAGATTGAGACATAATTTTCTTATAAAGGGTACAGAAATTAAATACAGATTGAGACATAATTTTCTCATAAAAGGTGGGATCTACATGTATAGGACCCATCCCTCATAAAAGGATTATATCCCATTCTATATTTAATTTTTATATTCCACACATTACGGTATAAAATTGGATAATTGTTTGTTGGTGTGTTATATAAGCACACTTTTTATCTTTTTAATATTTTTTAAATCACATCACCTCTTTATTTTTTTATATATTTTTTCGTAAAAAATAAAAAATATATTTATTTAGATCATCTCAAACAACAATGTTTTACAAATGCAGTCCCCTTTGTGGCTCACCACACCTTTATGATTTGAAAGGTTTATTTTTTAATAATTTTCTATGTAAATAGTTTATGAAAAAATTAAAATTATTTGATAATTTAAGCCACATAATTTATTTATATTTTTCTTAAAAAATGAAATGTTTGTTTGGGGCAATTTGGGAAGCTAGTAAAAAGTTAATTTTTAACTTTTAACCCATTTTGAGTCATATCATCTTTCATATTTTTTACACACAAAATGACAAAAAAATTAAAAAAATCAAAAAATCAACTTTTAACCAACTTTCCAAGTCACTCCTTTGTCTATTCTCAATTTTATTCTTCATTTTTTTTTTCAACTTGATTTAATTTTTTAAATACAAATATAATAAATTCAAAATTAATTCGACAATAATTTTTTTGAGAAAATATGAAAACATTGCATTTCAATGAGAACTACTCAAAATAATTATAAATTTTAGAGAGTTACAAAGTCTATGTCCAATGTAAGCAAAAGTAAAACGTGATTTCTTTAAAAATAAGTTAAGCGGTCCCGATATATATTTGGGTTCCTACATAGGTTCCCAGTTGTCTAGCTTCCTGAGAAAGTCATGTACGGTCAAAAGTTAATTTTTTGATTTTTTAAAAAAATGTAAAAAAAAAATAGAGTGATGATGTGATCCAAAAAAGTAAAAAAAAAACTAACAAATTGATTTTTAACATGGTTCTCAAAATAGAATTTAAGGTTAGGCCTCGTTTGACAACATTTAGTTTTAACCAAAAATTAAAAAATCACTATAAGTTATCATATCATTCTCTTTAGTTATTTATTTTTTTTTCATATTTTCATTAAAAATTATAAAAATAACTTATTCATAAACGAGGCATACAATTTTTATATCTACTATTTTCTTTAATTTTTTTTCAACAAAATTCTTTCAATTTTTCACTTTAAATGTTTAATTTTTCTGACATATTCTCCTACGAATTATATATATATTTTTCTCTTTATCCCCTCTCTCATATTGTGTATACAACTTGATGTAATTTCATCATCATTTTTTGTAACAGCATATAATCACATTTTAAATTAGTATGATAATCATTTTCATAAATTAAAACATTAAAATCAAATTAATTATACAAAAATAATATAAAAAAACAATCAATTAACTTGAACGTAACTTTAACATCACACAAATATTTTAGTCGTTTTACTACCAAATGAAAATTAAATTCAATCAAATTAAGATAGTTCTTACTAAAAGTTGAACTCAATATTATCCTACATGAATTAAAATTCTAACTCTATTACCATTTGGTTTTAAAGGGAGAGTTCAGAGTTTGAGCATACGGAAAAACCTTGAAAGCCTATTACTAATAATTTAACTTACAATTCAGGCTAAGTTTAAATGGTGGAAGGTGAGAAAAATGATTTTTTTATTTTTTTTATACGTTTACAAAAAATTTGGTTGAATTTGTTTTGCATAAAAGTGGTAAAAATTGTAAAAAAAAATTAATTTTTTTTACAACTCATAATAATATGATAACTAAACTTCTAATTTCTTGTTAAAAAAATATTATAAAATATAAGAAATTTTAAATTTGTTACAGAAATAGTTAATTACAATTAGAATTCTTATTTTTTTTTATATAGAATTTTCATTTTAGTCAAATTCATACAAGAAAATAATTTCTTTTTCCTCTTATTTTCTTTTATTTCATTTTCTTCTATTTTCACTTTCTTTATTTCAAATCAAACAAAACTTAAGACAGCAAAAATTATCTAGTAGGTCAAGAAAATTACATGCTCATATATGCCCGATCAATAAAATGTTATAGTTTGTCTACCATTTCTTTGTCATTAGGATTACAATAATGATACAGACCACTAAAACATCACCACTAATGATGTGGCAAGCCAAAAAAAAAAACAAAAACAAAAAACTAAGACACAAAACACATGTGGCAGTGGGTCACCCACTGCCACATCCCTAGTGCAACCACTAATTAGTGGTCTGCATCATTTTTCTTAGGATTATGTATTTATTTAGCTCTTTATTATTAGTTGGGCATACCACCAATATAAAATTCTTGAAAGGAAAAAAGAAAAAAGAAAATAATAATAATAATAATAATAAGGATAAATTACAAACACACTCTCTGAGATTTACTTAAATTATAAATTACCTTATGTGGTTCTAGAAATTACATTATATGCCCCTAAGATTTCTAATTTCATAACAAATAGATCATTTTATTAATAAGTCATCAAGTTAATCAATAGTTTTTAATAACATTAAAATTTTATTTCAATTAATAATTCATATAATTTTTCTATTATATAGGTGAACAGTAAGAAATTTCACTTTTTCAATTAATTCTATTAAATAATTTTTTTTGATAGGGACGTATTTATAATTTTTTAAACTACAGAGAATAATTTGTAATTTAAATAAATTTCAAGAATATATTTATAATTTATCCTAATAATAATTTGAAGTGGATAGGGGTGTAAAAGTAATTAGACATGAAAGAGGGACGACTCTTGATCGTGTATTTATAACCGCAATCAACCCCCAAATTTGGGATATCCAAACTGTTAATAAACCACTCTCTCCCCCCTTCTCTCTCTCTCTCTCTCTCCCCCAACTAAAACACTAACAGAAGAGAGAGAAACAAACATGGCTTCAGCTTCTTCTCCAAACCCCATTCTGTCTCCTCCTTCTTCTTCTTCCCTCTCCTCTTCTTCTTCAAACAAATCCTCTTCTCTCTCCTTCCTCAATTCCTCTTCATCATCATCCTTCTCCTCCATTCCCTTCCCAAAACTCTCTCATTCTCATTCCAATTCCAATTCTCGATTCCGATCTCAATCGCTGCTTGTTTCCAATGTGTTGAAAACAGTTGATTCGCCTAACAACTCGGTCTCCAAGGCCCGAGATCTAGACCGACTCGCCTCCAGCTCCAAACCTACAATCCTCGTCTCCGAGAAACTCGGAGAGGCCGGTCTCGAGCTCCTTCGAAGCTTCGGCAACGTTGAGTGTCTCTATGATCTCTCTCCCGAAGATTTGTGCTCAAAGATCTCGCAGTTCGATGCGTTGATCGTGAGGAGTGGGACGAAAGTGACGAGGCAGGTTTTTGAGGCTGCGAATGGCCGATTGAAGGTGGTGGGAAGGGCTGGTGTTGGGATCGACAATGTCGATCTCCAGGCTGCTACTGAGCTTGGATGCCTTGTTGTCAATGCGCCGACTGCGAATACTATCGCTGCTGCTGAGCACGCCATTGCTCTGCTTGCTTCCATGGCTCGTAATGTCGCTCAGGCTGATGCGTCTATGAAATCTGGTATAAATTCTATTCTTCTCTGTTTTTTTCCATCTCATTTGTTTATTTTTCAAATCCAATTTCGTAGATCTGTTCTTTATGATTCTGTAAATTACTTGATATATATGTTATGAACTTTTATGATGTATAGCGGCTTGTTTGTTTTAATTTTTGCAAATATATTCGTATATGTATCTGTGCATTTAGATTTTTTTTTTGGGATTCGCTTTTGTCGGGTAACAAGTTGCTTGTTTTTGAATATTAAAATTTTGGTAGATGGGGATTTGGATTTAATTGATCTGTAAATCTGTTTATGGGTGGAGTTTACTCCATACCCACACAGGAGGTTGCAAATGTGAAGTTAATCAATAGGTATAGCTGTTAAATTACTTCTATGTTAGAGCATATCCAACTTTGAATAAAAAAATTTCATCAAATTTGAGTGAAAATTTGATGAAAGTTTGATTTGATACCCGTTTATTCCAATGTTGAATTAAATTTTTTATCAGATTTTTTTACATTCTCGGTTGTCCAGGAAGACGTCCACTTGGCGGATATCCTGGAGGTCGCGAATAAAAAATTTGATGAAAGATGAAAAGCTCCCTCCATTTGATGAAATTTTTGGTTTCTCCTCATTTGATATGAGGCGTTGAAGCAGAAAAAGTGAGTATCTTTCATCAAATTTAATTTTGATGAAAAGTCTGAGTAAGGGTTGGAGACGCTCTTAGACAGGGTGGAACCAGAAATTTTGTCTATACATTATTAGTTATTAATTGAAGATAATTTCTTATATAATTGGCATGAGATATATATTTTATAAGAAAAAAATGAATAACAAGGTTTATTTTTTGTTATTATATATATATATATTTAAGTTTTGAACTATTATTGTATAATAGGTTAGATTCCTTTAAATTATTTTAAAGGAAAAATCTAGCATGTAATTATATTTCACAATTATGTAATGTGGAAGTCAAGATCTATAATTGAAATTTTGTAGTTTTACTCAACAGGTTCCCACCTCCAAAAGTAGAATTTAAATCCCGCACTTCATGAACCTCCCACCAGCTGCATTGACCAGTAGTGTAGGATGGATTTACACTTGTTTTTCTGGTTGGTTCAAATTGAGTACTCACTCCATCCCATTTTGTTGGTCCACTATTTTATTTTTGAATGTCTCAAAATGAAAGTCCATTTTGAAAAGTTAATGAATAAAGTTATGTGATTTTCCCATTTTGCCCTTTCTTTTTTGAATTAAAATAAGGATTTTGTTAATGAGTGCCTTCAGAACACTTGATAAGAAGTTTAAAATGTTTGTACATGATGTATGAGAGTGCATGCAATATGTAATATACAATCAATTTAAACATTGTTAACCAATGCCCTTAGGGCACTCGTTAACCAAACCCTTAAAACAATAATTTAAAAAAAATAAAATTACAATGGGTCAAATAAAAAGCTACACACATTGATAGTTTTAAATTTCAAAATTGATTTCCCGCCACCATGGGTAGAGCACTTATTAGGGTTAAATTTGGAAATTTGAAAATATATTATTACAATGATAATGATTTCGTAAAAAGTTGAATTTTCAAAAAAGGGACTATTATTTTGGGATGGAGGGAGTACTTTTTAGAATTGTTGCAATTTGTGTAAACATCTTGATGATCTTGTCTGGTTTATTATCAATCATTTTAGGGAGGGAGAGGCGAGGAAAGGAAAGTAGTAGTTAATGAAATCCAGATTAACTAAGGGTATTGTGATTGCAGTGATACCAAATGCTAAAAATGTCATTGAATTGTGACACCCTTTTCTCAACCCAAATTCTGAAATAATGTTCCTTGAGCACATTTCTGGAGTTAGAATCTAGAAATGTAATTAAACCATAAAATTATGACCAAGAGATTGTTGGAGATTGGTGCAGACGATTGATCTCTATTGCTTAAGCTTGGAGTCATTCCCCATATTTCTACCAATGAATACCAGACATCTCAATCTCATTCATTACTCTCACCTTAAGCTCTGTGCAAGTATTTTTGCATGTATTGATGAATATATATATTTTTTTAAACAGGAAAATGGCAACGCGGCAAATATGTTGGAGTCTCCCTTGTTGGGAAGACATTAGCAGTTATGGGATTCGGAAAAGTTGGATCTGAAGTTGCAAGACGTGCAAAAGGCCTTGGTATGCATGTAATTTCGCATGATCCATATGCCCCAGCTGATAGAGCCCGTGCCATTGGTGTGGACTTGGTCTCTTTTGATGAGGCCATCACCACCGCGGATTTCATTTCACTTCATATGCCGCTCACTCCTACTACGTCGAAGGTATTCAATGATGACTCTTTTGCAAAGATGAAGAAAGGAGTCCGCATTATTAATGTTGCCAGGGGTGGTGTTATTGATGAAGATGCATTAGTGAGGGCCCTTGAAACAGGAGTGGTTGCACAGGTATGCTTCTTTGTGCTGATGCCAATAATGCCCCTGAAAGTTGGGTTTTGATTTATGGATTCAGTAGAATTAGAGCAGCTCATGCATTTTATGTAGCAATTTAAGGTGAAAAATCAGGATCAGGAATGAGGCTGTTTTGGGACTTATTTAATTTACATTTCATCATTTTATTTTTACCTCTTTTAAGATGACTGCAAATGTTAATTGATGTCCCTGTTCAATGAGATAAATTTATGGTATTCACAAGAAAGTGATTCAACCATAAAATATGGTGTTTTAGTACAATGCTAAAAAGATTGAATTGTTTTTTTGATATTGGTAACAGACAGCACTCGATGTGTTCACAAAGGAGCCCCCAGCCCCGGATAGCAAATTATTGCAGCTTGAGAATGTCACCCTTACACCTCATCTTGGAGCTAGCACAAAAGAAGCACAGGTATAATTCTCCTGTGATCATTACAGTACTGGTATGTTATAGTTACTAGGAAACTCTGTTTGCGAGGTCCACACAAGTGCATTTTCGAAATGGGTACTATACTCTTCTGAAGATTTTTGGGAAACATTCTAGATACTTTTGGAAAATGTTAAAGCGATGCTCGAAAGAAACTAAGGGAAAACTAGTAAAAAAACTCTATAGGAATTACTTGGAAGCTTAATGGAATTTTTGTGGATTTGTATTTGAGATATTTTGAGCAAATATATAAGAATTAATTCTTCTAAAAATGTTTTAAATTGTCTTAGCAGAATGGTTTGAGTAAATTCAATTAGGCACGTAGAACTTTTTTGGAACTATTTGACAAACTTTGGAAACCTTTCTAGAAAAAAATCATTAGATTGGTTACTTAAAAATTAAAAATTTTGATGAACTGTGTAACTAAAAAATTTAGAAGTTTAGGTTTAATCAATAGTAATATCTTTAGTAAAGTTTAATTTAACTTGGTAATTATCATATTAGTAATCAAGAAAGGCTTATACTACTAACTAATTGATTGATTGGTTCAAGTTAGTTGCTATAGAAATTCAAAGCATTCAATGTACACATATTATGTTTAGTTGGCTAGACTAAATTTAAAAGTTTCCTTTATGTTTTACAAAAGTTTCATACTAAAATTCTTATTAGGATTCTTGTTTGATTCTTGATTGTTTACCCTCTTCCTGTTTCCCCTATATATTTAGGCCTCGTTTCCCTCTGATACTTCCTTGCTTTGACTTCCTAATCCGGTAACTGAGGTTGTACTCACTAACCTTTCAAACTCCTGTATGGCATCTACGCATTTCAGGAAGGTGTGGCTGTTGAAATAGCTGAGGCTGTAGTTGGAGCATTGAGAGGAGAACTATCTGCAACTGCTGTGAATGCTCCCATGGTCCCTGCTGAGGTAAACAATTTCAAGATCATATATCTCCATGTGACTTATGTGCGTGCCTAATGCACGGTAGCTAATCATTGCTCTTGTTCTTAGGTTCTTTCTGAGTTGGCTCCTTATGTTCTGCTAGCAGAGAAGCTTGGTAGGCTTGCTGTACAGTTGGTGACTGGAGGGAAAGGAGTTAAATCCGTGAAGGTGGTTTATGGATCAGCTCGAGATCCTGATGACTTGGACACCAGGCTTCTTCGTGCCATGATCACAAAAGGCATCATTGAGCCTATATCAAACTCGTTTATCAACCTGGTGAATGCAGATTTCACTGCCAAGCAGAAAGGCCTCCGCATTAGCGAGGAGCGAGTCCTTGTTGATTCAGGCCCCGAGTACCCTATTGACTCGATCCAAGTCCAAATAAGCGATGTGGGTTCAAAATTCGCAAGTGCTTTGTTGGAGAACGGAAATATTTGCATTGAGGGGAGAGTGAAATATGGAATACCTCATCTGACTCGTGTGGGATCCTTCAGTGTCGATGTGAGCCTGGAAGGAAACCTCATACTGTGTCGTCAGGTGGACCAACCTGGCATGATCGGACGAGTTGGAAACATTCTTGGTGAACATAATTACAATGTGAGCTTTATGAGTGTAGGAAGGACTTCAAAGAGGACAAAGGCCATCATGGCAATCGGTGTAGATGAAGAGCCGGACAAGGATACCCTCAAGATAATTGGGGAAGTGCCTGCAATTGAAGAGTTTGTGTTCCTCAAACTATAGAGAGCGTTGATGAAGACTCTCTCGAGTTGGTGGGAATGGTGGTGGAGATAGTAGTTTTTATGTACTCTTCAAAAAAGCCGAGCCAAGAATAAAATTGGCTGCCACGCAAATAAGGTGGTCTGTTCTGCCTGCCCGTGGTTTGCTAGAATCCGAGTTTTTATCGTGTCATTGTTGCTGCTGGTGGTTAAAAAAGTGGCCGTGCTAACAGTGTGTGTGGCTTGTAGAATTTTTAGGTGTTTTTTAGGTGAGTTCAATTATTAGATGAATCACCATCTTTTTGGAGTGGAAAAGATGGTTTTTCAAGATGTTATGTTAATGTTTTGATTGAAGTGCTGAGATGAAATATTATTTTGGCGCATGTTGTTCCGGTAACTAATGATGTTTCAGTTTAATGTAAAAGCTTGTTTTTAAGCCATAAGAGTTATGCTGTATGTAGAGTTTGAGAAGGAAGGTCAAGTTCTTAAAATGGCATCAAAAAATATTTACTTTTTGTTTTTAACTGTGGTTGCATTGCAGGACAAGACAAGTACTGGCTGTGGTCCACTCTACCAAATAAGTTAGATTTTTACATTACACATTCATGATGTTGACAGAACAGAAGTCTTCAGGATCAGAAATTATTTAGTGATCCTGGTTATGATCAGATGTATTGTATTTAGTGATCCTGGTTATGATCAGATGTATTGTATTGTGATTGGTAGAGAAAATTGACGAATATATGATACTCAAATATGTTGTGTTATAATTAGGGAAGAGTGTAGAGCTCACGATTTTGTGTTGGATTATGAGATAAACACAATTTTGTGTTGGGTTTTGAGAGAACAACAGACATTGTAATCGATGAGGGGGCATTGCAAGGTGGCGCTCTTGGACCACCAAATAATTTTTCCTTCACGATATTCTTACCATCTTGCTCCTGATGATCCAAGTCCAGGAATATAATTATAATTTGGGGTGATTTTATTTATTTATACCATGACAAAAATTTTAATTTTAATTTTAATTTTATCTCCTTACACCCACCCCCTTGCAACCACTGCCTTCCCCCACACCAAACTCCCTTCTCCAACCCCTTCCCCCACTGCAACTCCCCCTACCTAGCCCTTTTCCTATTGTGAACTCCCTTTTCAGATCGAAGGTTTTCAAATCTATGGTTCAGGGAATGAGGGAAAAAAGGGAGGCAGAAGAGAGGAAGGAACCGGTTGAGGGGGTGATGAGTGATGACACTGGTGGATCAATGGAGGGAGGGAAAGTGGTGGTTGTAATGAGAAATTAAGGTTTTAGATTTCAAATTGAGCACTTCCTGACAAATTTCAACATGAATAAGATTTTAATAAAAAAAAATTAAAATGAGGGTGCAAGAAGATATTTTAATGGTGTAAATAGAACCACCCTATAATTTGGAGTAAGATCCTATTTCAGTCATCTTACTCAGTGCAGCACCCCACAATCAGCTCATTGCATTCGAAACAACTCATTGTCAAAAACTTCCAGATTTGTGACAGATGATGCAATTAGACACAAATAAAATCATGACAATGAACATGTAAGGTAGATAACAGACAAGAGGTTGCATTTTTTTGCCCTTCTTCTTCTTTTTTTTTTTTTTTGTTTCATTTTTTTTCCCTTTTTTTTTTTTTTTTTTTTTCCCAGCATTGAGGTAGCAGGAAGGAGAACAACACCACAAAAACTATGCATCGAAGGCCTACTTTAGTCTCTTATGGCATGTTTGATTGGGTGGATTAGAGCATGGGATTAAGATTATTAATCCGTGGGCCCAATTATCCTATATTTGTTTTAACATTTTGGTTTAGGATTATTAATCTAATAGATAATTAATCTAACAAATTTGTAGAATTATTAGTAATGGGGTAGGGGTATGATTATTAATCCAATGGATATTAATCCAATTGGATAGTGAATACCACACTAATTTTTGCCCTTCTTTTTTTTTTTTTTTTTTCCAGCATTGAGGTAGCAGGAAGGAGAACAACACCACAAAAACTATGCATCGAAGGCCTACTTTAGACTCTTATGGCATGTTTGATTGGGTGGATTAGAGCATGGGATTATGATTATTAATCCGTGGGCTCAATTATCCTATGTTTGTTTTAACATTTTGGTTTAGGATTATTAATCCAATGGATAATTAATCTAACAAATTTGTAGAATTATTAGTAATGGGGTAGGGGTGAGATTATTAATCCAATAGATATTAATCCAATTGGATAGTGAATACCACACTAATTTAATAGGATTATTAATATTTCACTATTAATTTTGTGAATCAAACATGACCTTAAGGTACAGAATTATCAGAAGAAATGTTCACTGAAATCTCAATAACATCTTTATAACTATGCCGACTCCATGCACCATTAAAAGCCAGTCATCATTTTCCCCTGTTGAGAAAAAAAAGGAAATGAAATCAGAGAATAAATCATTAGATTTGTGGGTAAAATGTGCATATTCGATGAGGGTATGTGAAAGAAATAAAGGCAAACTTCACTTCACCTCTGTGGTTTGGGCCGGGTGTGGTTTAGCCTATTGGAAATAACCACCTAAACCCCATGTGGTTTCTGGATCAAAGCGTACCGTCAGCTTTTACATCTAAGTTAATGGAATGTGAGGCTCATGCATCTAGAGGGAGAGTAAGTGAAATTTAATGACTAAATTACCCCTCATTCACCTTCAAATTTAAAAAAAATACACCATTCTTCTTCCTTCTTCTTTCTCTAGTGTTTCTCTCTTTATTCACTCCCCCTTACCTTCCCCATACCAACATCCCTTTCCTCTTCCTTTTACCTTGCCAAACCCACCACCCCACCCCAAACCACTAATCTATACAAACATTTCATCAAGAGTAACATATAAATAATCTGTATATATATATTCTTGGGCTAAATCTATAAATGCATATATATATAATTTGTACATATATGCATTACTCTATATTTAGTTGTCAGTTTTAAGAATGGTGGTGATTGATTAACAATGGTGGATTCTCTAGGGCTTCAAGTAAGCAGAGACCCACACAATACTTTCACTCTCTCTCTCTTGCCCCTAGTTTATTCTAACCCAAAAACACTTGTTGAATGCAAGAAATTCAAGAAACCACTACACCACCCACATGAAATTGCTCCTCTTCTACATATACACGTGTATATATGTATCTATTTATTTGCTATAAAAATACTTCTTTTTCTTGGAAGTGGGTTTGGTTATGGCTCTCTTGTTCTTCTCTTCTGTTCTCTGTGTTTTGGATTTTTTTTAATCAACAGATCTCAGCTGCAATTTTGGGTATCAAAAACTTGTGAATTTGATTGTTGAGGTTCGTTGATTGTTGGCCTCTCATCATTGTTGCTCTTCTCTCTCTCTCTCTCTCTCTCTAGAACTTTGTGAATTGTGAACAATATATATATATCATATATATAGGTTTAGTTTAAATGAAAGGATAGAGATAAGGGTATAACAGTCAATTTCCTACTGCAGTTAACAGAAGTTACTTGTGCGCTTTGGTGTAGAAACCATATAAGGGTTATGTGATTATTTCCAAATGTCAAGGAGGTAAACCGCAAGCGGCCCAAACCCCGGGGGGGAGGGGGGTAAAGTGAAGTTTGCCCAAAAAATAAATCATAAGAATTGCATACGTGTTCATCATTAGTGTGATGTTGTCCCCTTTGAGAAGGATCCTCCCTAAACAAAAGACAAATATACCACATAAAAAAGTACACAATGAGAAATATTATAGAAAAACAGAGAGTAAGGGTCATGTATCACCCACCCAAAGCCTTTCTAGTCTTCTTCTTTACATTGACTTCCTCAGCATCATCCAAAACCAAATTCATATACTCATCAAACCCCTAAACAAACACAAAAATAGATACCACAATTTTTATTATCCTACTTCAAGAAAACAAAAATCCAAAATTATATGTTGATTGCAATGCAAATACAACAAATGACAGAACTACTCCTGAACATATGCATATACATTTCAGAAGCACATCACGCATATAAACAACTCTACTGTTCACATACTACTGTCTCGAAGCATGCATTTGTTCTCAATTATCATTAAACTTTAGAAAGCCCAGTGTGCACACAAGAACAATTCTGCACATTGAAAAGGGAATGCTGGCACAGATACAAGAGGGCTTCAGTGGCACAGGGCCACATGCAATCACATAGAAACAGAATTATCCAAAATCATATCTTGTAAACTAGAGAGCTTTTAACATTTTTGTCTTTAACAAATACTGAAAAGAGTTCAAAATTTAAGGGTGCCCTTTCACAAATTTAAGTTGTGCAGTATGTAGTGTTGTTTCTACATTTGAAACACCAATCGAATTCTACAATGTTTGGAGGCATTTGGGTATTGAGAGTTGTTGCAAGAACATGTCTACATACAAGTTATACGCTCAATTAGAATCAAATGGCTCCACAAATGCATCCATCAAACCTGTCAAATAAATGCTTGCAATTGCCCTAAAAAAGCAAGTGGGGATGGATAGTCTATGAAGAATACCTATTCCTTCCTCGAAACTAAAGAATTCCATTCCATCATGAAATTATCCTCAAGTCAATATGTTGGTAAGTAACCCCACTATTATTAATAACCGACACTACACCCAACCACTACATACCCTAATTTCCGTGCTATGATAGAGATAGACTTATATAGATCACATTATTAGAATTTAAGGTACTTATAAATGAAATATCAAATTCCTTTCTATTGTAGCCTACTATTTTTAAAATTTACCATGTAAAAACACATTCCTATAACCATTATGAACTTTTTTTCCTTTCTTTTCTTGTTTTTTAAACATTTTTTCTCGCCAAACTCAAGTCTCTCTATATTTTAGTTCCCCTAAAGAAAATGTTAAAAAGTAGTCACATAATAATAATAGAAAGCATACAATAATGCGGCCTTCAATCCTCGAGTCCTTTTGCTCGAAAAGCCATATCTGGATGCGAGCTTTCTGTTGCAATCCATAGCAAAAATAATGAGAAAATTATCAAAAACGGAAATCACAACAATGTCATCAAGTTTGGCACTTACACTTTGAAGAAACCTGAAAATGAGATTCTGAAACCAAGCAGGGACAGTCGATTCACCCATGAACAAAAGACATGTATCAGTAAATTTTAATATGAACGAAACATAGTGAAAGATCACAGACACTATATATAGAGAGAGAGAGAGAGAGAGAGTACGATGGGCTGGGTCATGATCCTCTGGACTTTGGTGGTCGCCATGGCTGCTATGCTATCTGCGTCGGTCGAGATCGTCTCCTTGGCAAAACCTTGCAAAGCAAAAAAGCAACAGAACCAGAAAGAAACAGAGACCTAATACCCTAGCTAGCTCTCTATCGGGATGTCGGATTGGGTCGGGTATATGTACATTCGGCCCGAACCAAATACCAGCCCATACACAACCCGAGACCAATAATGTTTTGGGCTCGGCTTTCATGGGTTTGGGCTGTATCTGGTGGATCTGTGGAGACCTTCTTAAAATAATAATCAATTTAAAGTGAGTAAAAATAAACAGAAATAATAAAAAAATATTATAAAAAAAAAAGTAGCATCTTTGCTCTCACACCTAACAAAATACAATTGACAAGAAAGGTTTTTTTCTTGGCCATTAGTTTTTTGGGGAAGAGAAAATGATTTTTTATTTAATTTTTTTTTTTTTTGAAAATTTGTGAGAGAGATTAGGAGGGAGAGATTATGAAATTTTTTTGTTATTAAATAAATAAATCAGTCAATAATTTTTTTTTAATCTATTTTGTAAATTAAAGTCAATAATTTTGAAAAATTGATTAATTTGTCTCATTAAGTGATTTAAAATTTTGATAGATATACATAAAAAAATACATAATTATATTATTAAATCATAATTCAAATTTAGATGTTATATCTTTTTGAGATCTATAGTTAAATTTTTATTTTTATTTTTTATTTTTGTATGTAACCATAGCGTATGAGAGAAATTAAAAAGGGTGTTGCAATAATTATGAGAGAAGTCAAAAGAGATTGTGGATTAGGAGAAGTCAATAAATACTAAAATTAGATTAAAAAAAATCAATAAATATTAAATTTTTTTTTTTAATCAAAAACTTAAAAAGCCTCCTCCATTGATCCGAATGCAGATAGATGACAGCCCACCACAAGTGAAGATTTTTAAGAATAAAAAAATGTATTCCAATTAACTAGGTTATTTATTGTTAGGAATACTGCATCTCGTCTCGTCAGCCATCTACATTCTCTCTGTCTAGGGTTTTACAATCGTTCCGATGGCCGGTACCGGAATCCACCCCTACCATCCGCAGTGGCCGCCGGCGGCTGTTCCTCCACCTCCTCCTGCTCCCGCGGCTGCTCCTCCTCCTCACCACCATTCCATGCCCATGGAAAACCCTAATCGCCTCTCCAACGACGAGGTACATTTTCAATTTCATCTCATCAATTCGATCTGTTCCTTTTCAAATCATTAGTAGATTCATTAGATTCATCACTGTGTTTGGTTTCTAGGTTCGAACGATCTTCATATCGGGCCTCCCCGAGGACGTGAAGGAGAGAGAACTCCAGAACCTTCTCAGATGGTTACCTGGTTACGAGGCTTCGCAGGTTAACTTCAAAGGTGAACATCCTATGGGTTTCGCTCTCTTCACTACTCCTCCTTTTGCCATTGCTGCCAAAGATGCCCTTCAGGTTCTCATCTTCACAATCTTTACCTATTTTATTTGTTTTGATTTTTCGATCTCTGTTGTACTAGATTATTATTGGGTTTGGTTTTGTGGTTTAGGAGATGGTGTTTGATGCGGAATCAAAGTCTGTTCTGCACACAGAGATGGCAAAGAAAAATCTATTTGTCAAAAGGGGTGAGTTTTCTATTTTTAATTGAAGCTTTCTTTACTTCAAAAGTCATGTCAGAAAATAGGGTTAAATATTGTAGACTTTTCTTGTTTCAAAATAATTTGAAGCCTCGTAACTAGACCAGAACCATGGGAGAGAGCAAGAACATTCATTTGTAAAGAAACCATAAGGGCCGGGACGGTCTTCAGAGCTTGCAGATGTGTTCTTATATTCTATAGTAATATGGATAAGATTAAGCTGGCTTGGTAGTTGTTTGCATAGTATCTTGTTATGGGTATGGGTTGAAATCATGGAACCTTGTTTTCTGGAATGCGTTTCTCAGAATGTGCTAGAATTTGAGCAAATGTTCTGGGCCTGGTAAATTCTGGATCACCAAGAAATTTTGCCCCCTTATGAAAATCAGGTACTATTTCTTTGGAGCCCAGAATGAGCACTTGGTAAAACCGCTTTGTTTGCCAAGAAAGTATTTGTAGAGAACAAATTTAAAAAGGAAATAGAAGCCTATCTCCTTATTAGGAACCCAAATAAAAAGAAGGATTTATGCCCACTCCCTTCAGCCTAGAGGTGCAAAATATTACGAAACATGTCAGAGTGTTATATAAAATCCAACTGGGGTTGATTTATCAAAAAAAAAAAATTCCAACTGGGGTTGTCTCTATGTTTTGGCTGATTTTTGTACCTTATTTGATATTGGTTTTCAAATGATGATCAGAGCATGTCTATGCATTCTATGAACAGTGAGGAGCCTTTGTCTTCATGCATTGACTTTGTTTTGCTTGGTGAATTTATCCGCAAACTCAGAATTCAATTAGGTTTTTATGGTTATCCAGCTGTGGAAAATAGTCCTTGTTTTGGTATAGGTAAGCAAATTAATGAGAACAAGGGTCATGATGAAAGGTGTATGAGAAGAAATTTAGAAGAGACAATATCATAATATTTATGAAAGGGACAAAGTGGCTATTTGATGATATTGATAAAATTTTTAGCTACACGATGAGTTATATAATGAGGCTACAATGGACAATGTGCTATGGTTAATTTTGTTTTTGGTGTTTAGAAGGGGCCTAAGGGTTTTTGGTTGTGATGAAGGACTTTAACCAGATTAATTTAGTGTGTAATGTTTATAAAAATGTGTTACAAATTAAATTAGGTAAGCTTACCAAAAAGAGAGTAAAATAATTTTCTATATTTAGATAAATCCATTCAACGAAATGCAAAGTAAATGAAGTCCTGCATGTTTTGAATTGTGGCATTGTGAATGAGTATTGTATTGTCAAATGAGTCGGTATTGGGATGTTTTGGAGAAAGCTAATGATAAATTTAGTTGGTAGCTAGTAAAATTTTAGCTAGATTTTTATGGTAGATTGCGGCTCCACTTTGTGCTGTTTGGTGTTTTATAGAAAGCACATAATAAAACTTTTGATGATGTGGAGCGTGCTCTAGTTCAATTGAAGAAATACATATTGAGGTTGTTGTTCTTGCGTGTCCATTCATTTGATTGGATTTTTTGGGCATGCACTTCAATTTGATTGATTTGCTTAGTGTAAGTATGCTGTCCATAATGTGTGCATAAGCAGAGCTGCAAATGAGTTGAAGAGTTTTTGGGGTTGAAGACTGTTGTTCTACTTTGTAACTTAAAAGAGTCACCTTTTCAACAATGAGTATTACTTTTTATTTATTTATATATTATATAAGTTGTCTTACTATTTAGTGGATATGAGTTTGTTAAGGTCAGTAAAGCGTGGCTTTTTTTTTTTCACTTAGCAATAATATGTGCTAAATTAGGGAGAATTTTTCTGGCTTTGTTGAAACGTACTTCACAAATCTAGACTTTGTGATATTAACACTCAAGTAAATACCAATTTGATCTTTACAATTCAAAGTATGTAGATTGTTTCATCTGTATGTGTGTGTGCGCGCGCGCGAACAATGTCATGAATAAAAAAATTTACAATCTTTATAGGTTAATGGCTAGAGATGGGTGAATTTCTATGGAGAAGGCACGATTGTCTTCAATTCTTTTGAGTGGTTCATGGTTTGATGCTCTTCTTGATTGGCAATAGCATATTTTCTACTGTCATACTTTCCTGTTTATATTTCTTTAACATACCATTGTTTTGGGTCACTTTTTATTTTGTTTAATAATGTATAAAATAATTGAGGTATCAAAGTGTTTCTATTTCAAAATAGAATACTATTACTTATTTAAGCACCTTATGTCTTGCACATCTTTTGTGAAGATTTTGATTGATTTTTAGTGGTTTTTAATTATGTTTTGGCGTTGATGTTAAGCATTTACTACTTTGTTATCTACTTCAATACCTTGTGCAAATTGTTCTTTGTTCATAGGAATTGTAGCAGATTCCAGCGCCTACGATCAGAGTAAACGCATGCGAACTGCTGGTGACTATACACATACTGGTTATTCAAGTCCATCTCCTTTTCACCCTCCCCCCGCACCTGTCTGGGGACCTCATCATGGGTAAGAATATATTGGCCATGTTTGGTTTGTATTTGTGAAAGAACTTTGAAAATAATTTTCTGGATAGAGTTTACAAAATTTGAAAATTTGTTTGGTTGTATGTTTTGAAAATAGTTTTGGAGTTTGAAATGATTTAAATTTTGTTTTTTGGTGTAGTTGAATAGATGGGTGTGAGAGAGAAAAAGATTGATTGATGTGTAGTAGAGAGAAGTGATTTTAGAATTTTTTTTTTGGAAAATTTTTCAACCAAACAAATTTTTAAAAATTTTTGTCAAAAATTGTCTCTTAAGAGACAAACCAAACGAGGCCATTAATTGTAGTTACTTAATTTATTTAATTAAGAAATTAAGTTTTATCTTTCAACATGTATTTCTGCAAGTGTTGCATAAGTTGCACTCCTTATTTAGAAATTTGAGAGGGATGATGAGATTATGGAATATAGAGTGTCAAAATGTTTGATCTAGTCGATTCGGTGGGGGAGCATGAGGGTTGGTTCAAGTAGATTGAAGGGATAGGAACTTGAGGCGTCAGGCGCCAAGTGGATTTTTGCTAGGTTAGTGGTGGGTAGGGTTGCAAATGAATTGTGCTATTCATGGATAACTCAAGCTCGACTCGTTTGCTAAATGAATGGGGGCTTGAGCTAGATTTTTAGGTTCGTTTAGTAATCTAGCTGAGCAGACTAGACCTAGGAAGCACGGATACGGGTACGATATGATGCGGATACGACGATATAACAAAATTTGAAAAATTAGGATACGGGTACGGCGGGGATACGTTCGTAAAAAATATTATTTTTATAATTTTTAGTAATGTGGTATGTATAAAAATAAAATCTAAAGCAAAAGATCATACTTTTTTCCATGATTTTATTACCAATTCATTAAATATCTTCCTCCATTCAAGATTATACTTTTTTCCTCCATGTTATATTCATCCAATCCGCTAATAAATAAATAAATAAAATTCACATACACAAATATGTTTTTTGTAGCAATTTTTTACTTTTAACTTGGAGCATAAAACATGTTGTGAAAAGCACATCCAAACAACTGCTCGGTTGAATTTTCAATTTTCCTCTTTCTACTGACAAAGGGAGACACAGGTAACATATATCAAAATTTAAAATTTCCTTTCAATTTCATATTTTTCTGACTAACCAACCAGAGATGGCTAATACAGAACTTTTAAAAGAAAATGGAAATTATAATTTTACAATAATATATAGCAGATTAAGCTAAAAATACTTTCCACCAAATAGACAAAATCCCATGTCCTAATTGCATACCCATCTCCCATGATTTGAGAAAGAAAAAAGGGGTTAGTACAGTGAGAGGGAGAGAGTGAGATTGAGTGAGACGGAGAGACAGGGAGTGAGTGAGATTGAGCGAGAGAGAGAGAGAGAGAGTGAGATCGAGAGAGAGAGAGAGACTGAGATCAAGTGACATTGACAGAAAAGCGAGAGTGAGAGCGAGTGAGCGAGCAAGAGAGCGAGTGAGAATGAGAGTGAGAGTGAGAGTGAGTGTGAGCAGGAGAGGACGAACCTTGGTCGACGTCGACGACGATGACTCAGAGTTGCTGCTATTCACAAATCGTGGTAGAGACGATGACGTTGTTGCTGCTGCTCGAGTTGTTGCTGCTATTCGAGTTTGACAGTGAGAGGAGCTAGGGTTTGTTTGTTTTATTTTTTTGTTTTATTTTAGATTGTTTTTGTTAATTTACACTTTGACCCCATTATACGTTTTAAAATTTTTTTTTTGCCCCGCCGTATCCCGAAAGTATCCTTGAAGTATCCTCGCGTATCCCAAACATATCCGAAATTCAAAGAATTAAAAAAAAAAAATTGGGATACCTTTTTGCCGTATTTGATACGTGTCTCGCCGTATCAGACCCGTAGCCATATCAGATACGTATCCGATACGCGTCCGGGGGCCATTTCGGAGTATCCGTGCTTCATAGGACTAGACTATAGCTTGGTTCCAATGTTGCTTCTCTTGTTATCGATGTTGCTTCTCTTGCTTAGGTATATGGCTCCAGCTCCACCACCATATGATCCATATGGAGGTTATCCTGTTCCTCCTGTACCAATGCCTGCTCCTGCCCCTGTACCTGCGCCAAGTAATTACGTTCATGTTCAGGTAATATTTTATCTCATTTTCTCTTGGTTGCATTTGATTTTTTAGAAGGTTATTATTTGTTTTGGCACATTCCTTTTGACATTTGTTGGTCTTTTTTGATTGGGTTGCTCAGTTGCATATCGCAGAGTTGTGTGCTCATAATTTTTTGGGGGCTGCAAGGTTTCTTGTTTGCTAAATGCAAACCCGAGTTCTTGCAAATCTTTTTGTGCCTAGTTTGGTTTCAACTGTAAATTTTAAGACATTTCATTTCAAGTGTGTATTTTTCTATAAATCACTGTATAAATTTTAACAGGAAGTTTCGACTTTGCCTATAATGGCTCAGGGTGTCTAAAAAATAACAAAAGGAAATAAGAATCTAAAAAAATTCACATATATTAGCTGATAATTTGGCACAACAAACCATAGTAATTTGGGTGTTACCTGATTGTGAATGTTTGCCTTGTAGATGATTTGTTTGTTGTGGTTTTGTAGTTTTTGCACTGTCATATATATAAATATAAATATATATTCTCTTACCAGAAATAAATCCAAATTGTGGCTGGTTATTTCTAGTAATTTTGTAGGAAAGCCTTGAAACTGTTATTTGCTTTTAGTTAACTTATTTTATTTTTTCTGCAGAATATTAAGGATAACCCTCCTTGCAATACCTTATTTATTGGCAATCTTGGAGAGAACATAAATGAGGAAGAACTGAGGGGCCTTTTTATCATGTATGACTTCTTAAAGCTTTGTTTGTTTGGAAACACTTCTGTTCTTATCTATTACCCTACATGCGTACTTTTGCTGAATCAATCTACTTAACTTCATACTTTCTACATTTGCAGGCAACCTGGTTTTAAGCAGATGAAGGTTTTGAGACAGGAAAGACACACTGTTTGTTTCATTGAGTTTGAGGTGAGTTTTTCTTTTTAATATATCAGATGCTTCATTATGCTATTTACCATCTTAAATTCTGGATAAGATATTTCAACACTATTGTTCTATTTTATTAATTAAGATCTTTTGTGTCACCTATGTAGGATGTGAATAGTGCCACCAATGTGCACCATATTTTGCAGGGTGCTGTTATTCCCAGTTCTGGTTCTGTTGGCATGCGGATACAATATCCTTTTAGTAGTTTGATATAACATTTGACGTGTTTTTAATTATTTTTCCTTCCCTCTTTGTGTTGACCCAGATTATTTCTTTGAACTATGGATACTGATTCTTCGGCACTTGAACTGGATGTGTGTATATCTTGGCCTGCTGGACTCTCCCCCAATGGTGGCACCATCTATTTGATTTCTCAATAGCTAGGGGCGTGTTTTGTTTTCGTGTTTTCAGAAACGAAAACAATTAAAAGTTAAAAAACACCATTCATTTTCATATTGTTTTTGTTTGTGTGGAAACAGTTTTCAAAAATCCGATAACAACTTTTTGGTGTTTCCTAACGAGTGGGTTATTTTCAAAATTTTTTCTGAAAACACTAAACAAGCATTCTGTGTTTTCCAAAATAATTTAATTATTTTCCAGTTAGGATATCTCAGAATTTATTGATTGATGGAAGATATTTTACTTGGCCAGATTACATAATATTCTGTTGTCTGGCCTTTATTGCTAGGGTGTGTGATTTTTTTCTTTTGGTATATTTATTTATTTATTTTTGATATGTACATGTCTATGCTTTTTCTTAACCTATTGAAACGTACTCGAAGAACCCATTTGGGAAAAGAAAGGATTCCAATCACCCAGCCGCTGCTGTTGGCACTAATGGAGTTCCGCCACCTATGTCCTACCAGTAGCTGGAAGGGGATGTACTCTGTTCTTTATGCTTCAGCAAATACAAGCACTGCATGATAGGATGCATCATGCAGCTGTTGCACGCATCCATTTCATCAGCATTAGCATGTTTTCTCGCATGTGAATGAATGCACGTAGTGCTATCATAAACATATAATTTGGTCATGTTATATGCTTATTTACCAGACATGCATTTGTCAGCAGCATCTCAGAATGCTTGGATAACTTAAACCAGGCTCGATTTTGTTTTCATATTGTAGAAGTGGTGCATGGGCTTGTAGTTTTGTTGGATTTTGTGTGCTTTTCCACCCATATTGATCATGTTGTTCATCAACATTAGGAATGCTTCTCTAATTGACATGTTGTCGTAGTACTTGTTCCCCCTCTTTTTCAACATTTACTTTTGTCACACCACATATCATAACATGGCATTTGAAAATGACTCAGGTTTCATTTCATGGCATGAGTTTATCATGATTCCGAAAACTTTAGAAACACGCATTATAGATCATGATTGACACCATGGCCAACTTCTCAATTTCTTGGAAAATTTAGGGGATCACTTCTTAGATCATATGATTAACATCGCTATAACCATCTACACCATCTCTCTTCTAGGCTTGTTCATGAATTGACTTGGTTGTCATTGTTCAAGCAAACTGATAATGAAGCATAAACATTCAGGCTTTCCAAAGCATAATAGGCCAAAGGATCTTGGAAAATATACGCTGCTGTCATTGTGCAAGATTTTTGAGTGATACAGCTTTTCAGGTAAATATTTCTCTTAGCTAGGCCAGAGTATCAGTCAGATATCCGACCTTGGACTGTAAGTTGTCAGCTCGTTGATGGTTAACTTTTTGTTTATTTTTAACTGGAGCTAGGTTCAAGTTTGATATGGGGAGATTGAGCTAATTATACTAGTTACACTAGTAGAAGCTCTTTCTTCCCATCTTGCTCTCTCCTTTTTACGCTCTTTGCTAGCCATTTCATGGCCTGTTTTGGCATTCTGCGGTGTATGAGTAACTCTCCTGGGTTTCTTTGTGAATTAAACAATTTGTAATGTACAGAATTATGGTGGTGATAGGAAATTGAAAGAAAAATTTAATGTTGATGTTCTGCACTTTTAATTCTAAACACTCTCAATGATGTTCTGCATTCTTAATTCTAAACACTCTCAATGATGTTTATGCGCTTTTAATTTCAGTTACGGCATGCTAGAAAAGAAAGCTCGTTCTTTTTGCTTGTTTTTGTCTTTTGTTTTTTTAGAAGTATTAATATATTTATATTGTTCTGTTATTTTAATGTGGTTTAGAGAGAGGGAGAGAGATAGCCTAAGGTGGGTGTGCACTGTCTGAAACTAAATGACTGGTAAGGCTTTGTCCGGTGCATACGGTGCAGAAATCAAATTCTGACAAAGTTGCTTGCCTTTTATTTTACCCATCTTTTTGGGAACATGGCTAAAAATCAGTTTTTGACTATTAACTTACACTATGTTTGGGAATTTAAGAGAGAGAAAAAAAAATGATTACTTAAGTTATAAGAGAAGAGAAAAATGATTGTGATTACTTTCCTTTTTGTTTGGATAAGTATGAAATAAAAGAAAAGAAATGATTATAATTTCTCTTATTGTTTGGTTAAATTTCATAAGAATTTTTTTTTTAATATTATATTACTAAATAATCTTTTTATATTTTCATTCATTTTATTTCTTTTATTTTTATAGGGACAAAATTGGTATTATGAAAATATTGGTTTTTTTTTTCTATCAATCTCTCCACTTTTGGGAAGATTGAAAATGAGGGTTAGAAGAGAAATCAGTTTCTTTTTGTTTTTCTTCACTTCTCTCTATTTATTTTTACAAGTTATTCAAATAGATAAGAGAAATACATATCTTTCTATTTCTTTTCTTTTCTCTTCTCTTCTCTTCTCTCCAAATAACTCAATCCGAACGTAGTGTTAGTGTTTGTTTGACAAATACTAAAAAAGTGTATTTTTTTTGTATACATTTACTTATTTGGGTTGTATTAATTAACATCTATCAATATCTATCAACATCTTCTTTCTATTTTTGTAGTTACTTTTTCTATTTTTTTACATTTTTTTTATAAAAAAATTTAAAAATATACTTATTTAGAATATTCCAAATTATTTTGGGTCATATCATCTATATTTTTTTACACGTTTTTTAAAAAAAAGTTAAAGTCAAAAAGGCGGTTTTTAATTAACTTTCCAGAGGATAAATTATAAATACACCTCTTAAGGTTTGATTAAAATACGTATTGTTCTTTGTGGTTTTGAAAATTACATTTCAAGCATGATGTTTTTAATTTCATAACAAATCGTTTCTTTTATTAATAAATTATCAAGTCAATTAATAATTTTTAATAATATTAAAAATATGTTTCAATTAATAATTTATGTAATTTTATTATTGTATAGAAGAACAATTATGAATTTTATTTTTTTAGTTAATTTTGTTAAATAAATTTTTTTAATAAAGGGTATTTATAATTCTTTTACATTGCAATGATAATTTATATTTTAAACAAATTTTAAGAGGTATATTTGTAATTTTCCCTTCCCAAAACAACCTGACGAATGGCTTTTTAGGGGGAATTGGGATCCTCCTTTCATTTCGGTCCTTCATTCCCTCCTTGCAGGGCCTTCGGGCCCACTTTGAGGCCCAATTTTGATAATCCGAACCGTTCATATTTTTAGATTTATTCAGTATATCATACCTGTAAAAAATCAAGTTGATCGAATATCATAAAGTATGTGTTCGAAACCTGTTTATTAAAAAATAGTTTGTAATCCCAATTTTCTGAACGCATACTTTCTGATATCCGATCAACTTGATGTTTTACAGGTATAATATACTGAATAAATCTAAAAATATGAACGGTTCGGATTATCAAAATTGGGCATCAAAGTGGACCTGAAAGCCCCTGCAAGGAGGAAATGAAGGAGAGGCTAAAGGAGGGAATCTGGACTCTTTTAGGGGTGCTTGAGAGAATTCCCATTATTTAGGTCATTGTTTGTGATTGTTGTTGCGTCAATGAGGTAGGTTCTTGCTAACCCTACTACTTAAATAAATTACTATAAAAAAGCGACTCGTGAAGTACACGATGGCTTGTTTTTTTGTGCAAAGGTATTATTGTTAGATTGCCAATGGCATTGTTAGTTAAGTCTTGCTAACTACCGCTGTAATGGCGTTTGTTGGTTAAGTTTTACGAAATGCCAAAATTTATTAAATTCAATATACATTTTACATATAATTTCATACACTTGTTAATTATAAACGCGGCTTTTTGAGAGCTTTCTCAAAACGTCAAACACACACAAAACGCAGAAAATCTCATTTGGGAAGATCAAGAACGTAGCACCCAAATTTATCAAATTACCTTCTGGAACATTTTAATTAATTAATTCAAAAATCAAAAAGTAAGGATATTTTGGTCATTTTAGAGTGATATGACACTTTTAAAAAATATTAAACCAAAAATAAAAAAAGTCAATTTTTTATCAACTTCCTAAATCACTTTCAAAAAAGCCAAAAAGCTTGATAAAAGTCAAGTCAACTTTTTACCAACTTCTCAAAATACCTATATTTCACACATGAAAAATGCAAACTACCATGATTTTGTCCCAAACTACTATGATTGTGATCCTTCGTTTCAAACTACCAGCATTTTTTTGGGGGGATTTGATGATAGCCCCCTCACTATCTAATTTGTCTTTCAAAATGACAAGAATTATATAAGTACTTTCAAAACCCCCTGATATTTTAAAACTTATTTCTTTTACTATATTACCCTCATATCTATCAGCTCTCCTATTAAGACATTTTCACTATGTATTTTACTTGTTTTTCAGAGTAAAATTTTACTTTTAGCTTCAGAGTCTCACAGTTTACTTGTTTTTCAGAGTAAAATTTTACTTTTAGCTTCAGAGTCTCACAGTTTACTTGTTTTTCAGAGTAAAATTTTACTTTTAGCTTCAGAGTCTCACAGTTTACTTGTTTTTCAGAGTAAAATTTTACTTTTAGCTTCAGAGTCTCACAGTTTACTTGTTTTTCAGAGTAAAATTTTACTTTTAGCTTCAGAGTCTCACAGTTTACTTGTTTTTCAGAGTAAAATTTTACTTTTAGCTTCAGAGTCTCACAGTTTACTTGTTTTTCAGAGTAAAATTTTACTTTTAGCTTCAGAGTCTCACAGTTTACTTGTTTTTCAGAGTAAAATTTTACTCTGGTTCTATCAAATGAAATTAGATCATTCACAGCCACTGTTCTTCTGTTTCTTCACAGTTACTTGCCTCTTTCGTATCACCTCTTTGGCTTCTCTGTTATCTATTACATATATACAATCTATATTGCTCACTCACGACACAGAAATTTATCAAAATCAAAAATAATTTTACAACAAAAAGTTGAGAGAACATAGCAACAACTCATCAATAGATCAATTTAAGAACTTAACAACACTATCCAAATGAAAAATCTCTCACTCACACACACACACACACACACACATATATATATGAAAAATCTGAAGAACTGTGTTCAAATATGAAAATTTTGAATAGTCGCGCGATTCGTCTCTATACTCTTTCACAATTCGAATTTTTGATCGACGAGGCTATCATCAACGGCAAGAACATGAACTTCATGAGAATTGGAAGGCGATACGTCGACGTCGTCGAAGCTTTCTCTGATCATCTCCGACGATCTCTTCCACTGCGAAACCTATGCGCCATTCAAAGAAAATTCTCTGCAACTGAGAGTGATTTAGGTATATTCAGAGTTTTGGTTGAAATCACGAGAGTTTCGAACGAATCCAATCCAAACCCTAGGAATGGAAGAGAGAAGAAAAAAAGAGTGGAGAAGGTGAGGAAATTTAGTTGAGGGTATAATAGTCTAATAAAATATTTAAATAATAAATTTTGTCTTTTATGCAAAATTTTATAATTATGAGGGGGTTTAGAAAATATAATTTTTTTCTTAGTCCTTTTAACAATGAAAGGAAGGTAAAGGGGGTTTATAGCTAAATTTCCCATTTTTTTTTTTGGTGGTTGTGCAATCTTTTTCAAAATGGAAAAAAACGTAGGGGACAATTATTAGCAGGTATTTATTTACTTAAATATTTTGAGTGATTTTTTTTTTAAAAGTATTTACTCATCGTTTTAATAATGAGAAAATTTTGAATTTGTGTTAGAGATGTAAGTTATATATAATAAAATAAATATGATTACAACAATGATAGAGACCACTAATTTTGGAACTTTAAAAAGATCACTAATGACATGACACTCAATAAAAAAAGAAAAAAAATACAACACCAAGACCAAAACATCAAATCATTCATGGTGAGGCCCACTGCCACATCATTAGTGGTAATACTAATTAGTGCTCTCACTCATTGTCCATCAAAAAATTCTGTATAGAACTGAATCTCTAATGGGGCCTTTATAGTTAGAATAAAGTTATATGGATTAATTGATATATTAATTAATATAATAATGGATGATGTGATATAATTTTAGATATTTTGAATCTTTATAGTTTGTATAATATGTGGAGTTTATAATTTTAAAGTGATAGTATCATAAAATATATTGGGATAATAATTGATATATTAAGTGGTATATATGACACTATTGTTATAGTTATTGTTGGGATATTTGTCTACTGAGGAGATTAGGAATGAGCCTTGAATATTAGAGGTAACACGACGAAGAAAAGTAATTAAAATAAAGTTTTAAAATAAATAAATAAAAATTAATATAAAAAGACTAAGACACATCTAATTGATTAAATAAAAAATTATAAATTCATAATCTCTTAATAAAATTAGAACTGTGGGTAATAAAATTTTTGCAGAGTAGGTTGGTGATTTGTCCAACAATGGGGTTCCTTGCCGAGCGAGTTTTGCTTGCCGATAAGCAAGGTTGTGTTTTGATAGTTCCTAACAAGATTAGGCATTTTTTAAATAAGTCCTATCAAAGCATTTTCAGAATAAGTCCTAACGAGGTTAGGCATTTTTGGAATAGGTCCTGGCAAGAATGCCTAACTTCGTTAGGACTTATTTCGAAAATGCCTTGCTAGAAATGATTCCAAGAATGCCTAATCTTGTTAAGAA